AAAAAACCTGCTTGCACTTACATCCTAGTTTTGACAAATACCTATCAAAATTTGGAAGCAGTAAGAACAAAATCCCACTGATACAAAAGCAGGAGGAAAGAAACAAATAGGTCCATTAGTGTCCTGAGTTAATAAAGATTTGTATATTTTACCTGCTGAGGTTCAGAAAGAGTAAATTAACAAAAAAAAAAAACAATGAAAATGTGAACACAGGTAGTTTCCACAGACACAGAAAGGTGATTTCTGCCATTTCCATATTCTAATGCCATGACAACATTGTGAGCCCAAAAGACTCTCTTGATTGGTCCAATTTAGCTTTGGGTCAACCAGAGGATTATTCCAGATTGACAGTAACGTAACCAAAACCAGACTTTAGCATTAAGAAAGCTAATTTAGATTTTGTCATGACTGTATAAAGACTTGCCAATATATTTATATGAGCAAAGCCCTCTTTCAGACTTCCAATTTATACTGGCAAATGTACTCCACATTGACATGAGATACTTTGGTTGGACAGATTGCATTTCTGTAGAGAAAATGAGAGGGACTGCTAGCACAGCTATGTTATTTGAGAGTGCAATACGTTTAACACTCCCAGTTCCCATATCCTTGAACCCAGAATGGGGAAGCATAGATCTGGGCACACTCATTTATGAAATCCCATGCAATAACCTTACTAGAATGCTCCATTAATAACCAGAATTCGCAATTCTAAGTCAGAACTCAAAAAAAAAAAAAAAAAAAAAAAAAAAAAAATTGAAATTATGAGAGATTAAAAACAAGAGTCTTGGGGACTTTTTCATATGTGTCTGGAGTTTAGATTCATGTTTTCAAAGCTTTTTCCTCTACTCGAGATAGTTTTTGTTCTTTTAAAGAAATAAGAACCTGCGGTTCACACTTATTAAAGTATATGTAAGAAATAGTTTTCAAAAGAAATACCAAAGCACACAATGAAATCACAAGGAGTAACAAAGGATCTTTCATTCTGAGATCAGAAATTTTTCTGAAGATTGGGATAATATTGTGCTCCCAAGACCTCCATTATTCCACACTGAAATCCAATGGATCCAAAGCATCTCAAATTACTCCAAAAAGCCCTCAACTCACATCTTGCTGCCAAGGTTAGTTCAGTACCCAGGGCAAGCATTTCTGGAGTACTGTCTGGCGCTTAGCACAGATCTGCCAGCAGCAGTCAAGTCAATATAAAACCAGCCATACCAGTTAGTAGCTCTAATCAGTAACATATTAAAGAAAAGGCAGATACCACCAGTCCCTGCATTAATAGAAAGCAGCTTTGCTGTTTGCTGAGAATACTGTTAATGTGCTTTTGGTAAGCTCCGAGCATGTCTGTGAGATTCCTGGGGGAATTCTGCTTGTGGAACATCCCTCCAGGCTCCAGCAGGCTATAAGCTGAACAAGATGGATGAAGGCACTTGCCTGAGAGATGGCTCAGATGCAGCAGCTGTGTGAACATCCAAGTGACTAAGAAGCAGCAAACGCACTGCAAAGAACAAGCAGAAGAAACACACTGGCCCCAGTAACATAGCCAAGACTGGATTTGTTTTGGCAGAGTGTTGGCGAGCTGCAGACTCCAATCTCGAAAGAAGGGAACTGCCTCCTGTTGTCCCTGGGACTGTGCCCTCGTTTGTTTTTAACTAATTGGATGGCATGCAGTAAATATCTGGCTTCTGCTAGAAAAATTATCTCACAAGACCCCAAATGCTAATTATCCATTGGGCCAAAAAGAACAAGATTTGTTTATTTATTTGTTTACCTTGCTGTGGTAACTAGCAACATTGGATCAAGATCCCATTGTGCCAGAGAGCGTTCAGTTGCTGAACACAACTTGCTTTTCTCTTTTTGGATTGATTTTCCCCTCCTATCTGCATGGTAAATAGCATCTGTATTCACAAGAAAAGAGATATAGTTTAGACAAGGAAATTTTTTCCTAGTAAGAAATGGGAGAACAAGGTACCAAAATTCTCCAATTCTCATTAGACCAAAAAAAAAAAAACACCTTTGAAAATCCATATGTTTTGAACATTGAAAAATTGTCAAAGAATCAAACTTTTATTAAAAAATATCAGTATAAATACTTTTTTGTTTGTTTGTTTGACTTGATGAGGGCATGAATGTTTGAGCTTGATAAGTGGGGTACTAAATTGTGCACTTGAATAGCAAGCACTACAGCACTTCTTACCTCTGCAGCGGGTTAGCAGAGAACTCTTGGAAGAGATTGTTAATATCACCTATGGAAAGGTGGAGACTTCAAGAGGAGACCTAAAAATAAAACATGCCACATAACTTTAGTGTAAAAATACTGCGAAGATCCAAATATTTGATGTACTTTATTTTCTGCTTCTTTGTAGCCATCTATGAAGTACCTCAATCCAACACACCTATTAAAAAAGCCTGCAGTGACCGCACAATACCTAAAAACTGTTTTTCCATGTGGGATTCAAGGGCATTAATTCTGCACTATAAGTAGTGTTTCTGGATATGTACATATGCTGTACATAAAAATAACTGCAACGTACTGTTTTCAGCTAAAGTCAATCTTGAAGTGCAAAACCATTTTAAATGAGAAAAATATCAAAACAGTTGCAAGTAAATTAAACTCTCACAGTTTCTTCTGAATACAGTCAGTATGAGAGAACAGTCTGAACAGAGAGCGCTGTGAGCAACAGCCTATCATAAGGAAGAAAACAGCTCACACTTAACAGCTACTTTCTTTAGAAAACTTAAAAGTGTCTCACTCATATTTCAATTTTTATGTAGTATTTAAATCAAAAATTTAATCCATTTATTTCTCTGAGGCCAGGAAAATTTTAAAGAGAGAAGCAATTGCAACAGAATATGCTTTTAAGGGTGTGAGAAGACAGCTTACTGAGGTTGTGAAATATAATAAATTCCTTTTGGTGATGTTCTGTGTCAGCAGTGAAAGACTTGTAAAAAAAATATGAGCATCAGAAGTTTAGCAGATGCCAGTTTAAAAAAAATTGGCAAGCTATTTTCATATTGCCTGTAATTTTCTAAAGCTATTAACATATTGTTAATTCATTCACAACAGTACTTCCAGTTTTAGCAGCAGCTATGAGTTTCATGGGTTATGTCCATCTGCTTTTGTATGCTTCACGTGATTAGCCCAGAAAAAGAGCTATAGCACTTTCCTAAACCATACTCCGAGCATATTCCCACCTTCTCCTCCTCTCCAGGGTGGAGGAAGGAACTGATGACAGAGATGACACTACCTAGCAACAGAAGACTCTCAGAATTAAAAAAAATCTCCTGACAATATTTGAGCATTTGATTCAGCTCTATCATATTTAGAAAGTGCTGTTTTGTTTTGTTTTGTTTTTTTAAAGTATCACTAAAGTATTTTCAAATATCCTTCAACTTTAATATCATTAATAAGATTTAAAAATCCCAAATAATTGATTTTTCTCTGGTATAATCCATAATTCAGTCCTTCCCCATTCATGCCTTTGCACAGCACTCATTTTCTCTGTCTACACAGTTGGATACTTTGTCTTCAGTTTTTGAAAAACACTGGTCTTGTCCCTCCATAAAGAGAAAGACAAAGTTCTCCCTGCCTGTTTTTTCAAAGAAAAGAAAGAATAAACTTTACAACTCGATGTTTTCTCTTAAAAAAAAACAACAACAACAATAAACACAATTCTTAAATTCTAGAGACGTACCTTCACATGGTCTGATACTTTATCCTTTCTGTTTTTTCTGGCATCAAGCCTTGTTTACTGGCACTAAGAAACATTGTACCACCAAGCTTTCAACTTATCAGTGCTGAGAATGACAAGCCATAGCTTTAAAATAACTTGATGATGGCTTGCTGTCAAAAATGTGCAGAATAATTTGTCCAAAGCCACCCGTCACTGTTGTACATTTGTTCAAGCATCCTTTGCATAATTATATTGCTCGTGAAAGATGACACGTTGTGTCTTAAGTTATACAAATAAGTCTGATTAAAATAATAGATGTGTCCTATAATCATGATAAAACATTTTTGCTAAACCCTTTTAGCCTTGATGTCTCAGATAGCATAATCTCTTTGGTATACTGAAAGTCAAATGAAAAGTCACCCATGTCTTCGCTACCAGGCAGTGGCAATAGTGACTGACATGGAGAAATGGCTTTGCTGAGGTTCTGTGTTCTTGAGTTGGACAAATGGGATTGCAGAAAATGTTGGATCTTTCATCCCTTCGCACCATGTAATGTTCTCATTTTCCACAAATATCAGATTTTATTTTTTCTCTATTTACTTCGCAAACCAGCTGCAGAATTCTTCTAGGTACATTTAAAAGACAGCTGCACACATTTTGAAGGCGTATCATAATGTGTTTTTTGTCACTTCAGTTTAATCAGCTCTCATAGCATAGATATATAGGAAAATAGTAGTCAGGACAGTAATTTGAACAGAAATACAAGCATAGCACACTCTTCATATTACACACACACCAATGCTTCATCTACTTAACCCACAAGCCATTCTTAAGGTAATAACATGCTACCTCAAGAGGCTAAGGTTTCATTACATTTTTAAGGACTAACAGGTGTGCCCTTAAAGCTTGCCAAAATACTTCATGATGAACTGCAAAGCTAATCTGTAAACTTGCTGCTCACCCCCTGGATCACAGTGCACCTGGCTAGTGAAATAGCAATAATGGAACTTATGCTTGGTCATCCTTATTCCAATACTGCAGACCTCAAAGCACTGAGGCAGATGGTTAATCTACACATTGCTAGAAATAAACCTTATGGCTCTGATGAAAGTGTGCACTAAGATGTTTTTAAAAAGTTAATATAAAAGTGAAAAGTATGCTCCTATTCTTTGATGCTATATAGCAACTCAATACAACCTACCAAGGGCCTCTATGTTCAGAAATTAATTAAGGTCAGATAATTTCTTTGGGGTATGTTTCACGCTGGCCCTTCCAGGCCCCTCACTTTCTGAAAGTGCAAAAGAGCCATCAAAGAGTCCCATGCCACCTGCTTCCCTTCTGCTCATTTGCCACTGGGGCCTTTACTCTTTAAAAAATGCACCTGGTGAGGCTGAAGCCTAATCACCTTTCCAAACATCTACGGCTACATAAAAGGGACAGCCCCCAGTCCTCTTGCTTTTTGATCCCTCATTTGTCCACCATATGGCATTTCTAAATATAGGGTCTGGTCTGTGCAGATATACTATTTTCTATAAATAGACTGCAGCAATACAGTATGGAATTAAAAGCGAGGACTTCAGAGTCAGCTCTAATCAGAACAGCGTGGTGAGAGTTTTACTCGCTCTACTGGAAAACAAAAACAAACAAAAAACAAACAAACAAGGAAGGTTTACAGCCACCTCTGGAAACCTCATTTTAAAACTGGCAGCGCTATTTGAGAAGATAAAGGAATACATGTAGGTGGACGTGAAGAACAGCAAATAAAACCACCCTAGCAGTGCTGCCGTTTCCCTCTTCGCGCTGGATAGACGAGCACAGCCCTGCCCGCCCGAGGCCGGCCCTGCGCCGGCGCGATGGATGCGCTGTGGGCTGGGCGAGGGCGGGCAGTGGCGGGCATGGCGGCGCTACAGAGAAGCGTGGTGTCCCCCGCGGGTCGGCACACCGCCTCCCTCATCTTTCTGCACGGCTCAGGTGGCTGCTCAGGGCCGGGGCGCGGGGCAGGGGCTCGCTGCCTGTTGGGAAGGGCGGGGAGAGCCGCCCTCTGCAGCGGGGCTCTGCTGGGAGTGTGGCGGCCGTTTCCGGCGGGGCAGCCGCCAGGCACGGCGGGGCTGAGAGGAAGGAAATCCGGCTTCGGGCGCCTCGTGCCTCGCCGCTTTAGCTTCTCCTTCCCGTCCCTGGAGCCAGCGTGGGGCTGACCACAGGTGGGGGGTGGGCTTCGTGTATGAGCTTTCCAAATTTCCCATTTGTCTGGGTCAACTTGTGGTGTGCGGTTCTGTCCTATAGCTGCTCAGCTCACTTTGCCTGGAAGCTGCGCTCCCGTTAGTTTGATACTCTGTTATTTCTGAGAGTAGCTACGTATGAAGGATGATTTTCATAGTTAAAATGCTGCTTGGAGTTTCTAGAATCAGACTGGCAGAGTAGCGGTACCTTTCCCTGCAGAAAAAGACCTGGTGGTACCGGTGGATGGCAAGCTGGCCATATGAGCCAGCAGTGTGCCCTTGCAGCCCAGAGAGCCAACCTGCTGAGACCTCACCTGGTGTACCGAGCCCAGGTGTGCAGTTCTCAGTGCAGGAGAGACATGGATCTGTTGGAGCATGTCCAGGGAAGGGCCACAAGAATTATCCCAGGGGTGGGATGCCTCCCCTACGAGGACAGGCTGGGAGGGCTGGGGCTGTTCAGCCTGGAGAAGAGAAGGCTCCAGGAGAACTGAGAGCAGCCTTTCAGTGTCTAAAGGGGACCTGTAAAAAAGAAGGGGACAGACTCTTTAGCACAAGTCTGTTATGACAGGACAAGGGGAAATGGATTTTGAAAACGAAAAGAGGGGAAACTTAGACTGAATATAAGGAAGAAGTTTTTAACAGTCAGGATGGTAAGAGAATGGAATGGGATACCCAGTGCGGAGGTGGATACCTTGTCCCTGAAGACATCCAGGGTCAGGCTGTATGTGGCTCTGAACACCCTGATCGAGCTGTAAGTGTCCCTCTTCATTGTGGGGGTTTGGACTGGATGGCCTTTAAGGGTCCCTTCCAACACAAATGATTCTATGATTCTTTTAGAAGTGTGTTAATAGGCTGTGAAAGGCACCTGCTGGTAAGATTCCAGCCCGTGCAGGTGGACATCCTGGCCCTTACAGAAGGCCCTCAGCAAGTGGTCCAAGGGCAAGAGGGGAGAGTTCGTTCCGAAGGTTAATATTAAATAACAGCTATAAAGTCCACATGACTTAAAAAAAAAAAAAAAAAAAAAAGAAGAAGAAAAAGGATCATACGTCTTCATTACATCGACTCACACTCTGTTCTGCTAAGTAATTTGCACATGATGGCGTGCTTAACTCCTTCAGTCTTACTGTAGGCTTTGTTTTTTTAGGTGATATAGGTGCTTACTACTTATTGGGGTATTTTTTGTTTTTGTTTTTTTTAAAATAGTTTAATTACATTTTTCTAAAATCCTGGAAGTTTAAAAACAAAAAACGAAGAAGTGTCGGTAAGATGTGTTCAGCCCTCTTGTTAATGCTAATGTTTTAATGCTCAAGGAAATAATTTCCTCTCATGTTGGAGGAGGAAGGGAAGATTATGGTTAGAAGTTGGTTCCGCATGTGGTCAAAGCACTCCACAATTTTTCATTTTTAATATGATTTCAGTCATAATGTTTGCAAGGGGTAAGTGGGTGCTTTTATTTGGTTTTGTTTAGCAGTTCCGCAGGATAGAATTTAAAACAGAAGTAGCCACAGTGCCATTGCTGTGGGCTGATGTATAAAACTGAATTGGTACCTTCTATACAGCGCTTGTGATGGGAAGTGGCAGTTGGATGGCATGAATCCATTTTGTTAATAATACTTGCTGCAGCCAAAATGTGACTAGTGGAGAATGTAAGTACAAAATGGTATGGGGGGAAAACTAGAAAATTTCAGGTACTATACATCCAATTTTAAATGGGGGATCTGTTTGGTAGCTCAGCAAAGAAAGCAAATGGTTGTAAATCAAACTTAAGCTGATCAAATGTACAATAATTTTAAGTTTACAACTTTATATAACAAATACAAAAAGAAAATCTGAAAATGAAAGATATAATTTAAAGGAAAACAATTTGTTTTACTTCAAGACAGGAAGAAAGACAGTATTGCTGCCATCAGTTTATTTCAGGTTTGGAAACAGAGTTGATTGCCTCTTAGTAATGGTCAGAAGGATAAACGATGCTAAAATCTACGAACATCTTCAAAGTGAAACATTTTGGAATGCTGTTGTGTTTTGTTTGGTGTCACTGTGGTTTTCTCTACCTCTCCTCCTTTCTGTTCTTAGCAAATCAAAATTTTTCACCCCTGCATAGAAGTACTTGCAGGATGTATAGCATTTGGACCAGGGGAACTCTTAGTACAGTAAGCCATTGTCAAATTAATGAGTTTTGTATCAACTTTACATTGGCAAACCAGCTTCAAAAACTGTGGATGCTTCTACTGATGTTGGCAAAGACCTTACAACTCATGTAAGGAAAGTGCTGCAGAATGTGTTCTGAAGCATCGAGTTGAAGATGTAACTTTGACTTTTTACATTTAAAATAGCACAATAACGTGTTGGTTTTGGGACACTATTGTTTATTAGCCAATTGGGATATTTAGCTCAGAACTTCATGGTTTTGCTATGTGCTCAACAGAAAAACAAAAAGCTGACTTTGGATCGTTCTTGTTTTCTATTGTTAATTTTAAAATGCACTGACTTTAAATACAGTGAAGTCTCTAAATTTTCTGTGAATGGTAAAACAAGAGAAAAACCTTGTCTGTTAGTGAATTCTAAGTAGTGTACCAGTAAGTTGTTATATTCATGTATCATTGTTCTGAAGAACTCATGTAAGAGGACAGAAAGTGTGGATTGGGGCAGTATTTCTTGTGGCTTGGTCACTATGTGGAATAAAGCGAGTTTTAAAGTCAACCTGACCAATCTGAAATAAAGCAACAGAGAAGGCTCTTAATTCAGATTAGTGATCTGAGATGAGAATATGAAGGAATCTTTGACTTCAGCCAAGAATGAAATAATATGGCATGAGTGGCAGAAGTGAGATTCCAGTTTGCTGAATCCTGACTGAATTTTTAGGTTGGAAATTACAGATTATTACCGCCTCCTGGAAACCATATTCTTTGAGCTGGGTTATTCAGTCTTTAAACTTACTAGAGACCTCTGTGTGCATGCAATTTGAGGCAGGTGACAGGTTATATTTGAAGCTACTGGTACAGTAAAGATGAGAACTAGAAAGTGTCTCTATTTGTTTGAAAGGAACACATGCCGCATTTGAATTCATCCTGTTTATCTGTTCATAGACCTTCTATTTTGGGACTTTGGATATGAGTTTGGGTGGTTAATAGTAAACCATACAGTAGAGCTCAGCCAGTAATTCGTACTGTACCCTTCTGTGTGTTACAGGTGATACTGGCCGAGGAGTAAGAACATGGATAAAACAAATTTTGAATCAAGACATGGCTTTCCAGCATATAAAAGTAATTTATCCAACAGCTCCTGCCAGGTATTGCTTAGTGTGTTTTAACAGTACAATTAAATTATTCTAATCCACTACTGCAAATTATGCTTGTAGTATTGGTACAGATTGTTGTAATGCATCCTTAATGTTTATGCCTTTTGGCAAAATCAGAGCTGAACAGTGTATTGCTGCACTGCATCTGCAATGCTGAAGGATTAAGATTTCATGTAAGTCACAATTTCCAATTCGCATTCAAGTATTGTCCTTAAGTCTTTCAACCTCCTTGACGTCAGTAGAAGATACTCCACTGTGTGCTGTAATTGAATCATGGAGCTGTATTCTGTGTCTCTGTTCTACCTGTATTCATTTAAATATTAAAATACTTTGTTGTATCTAATGCTGGGCTTCAGTTCTTGGTAGATGGTCTTTGTGACCAATAAGATGTGAAAAATCTGCCACTCCTGGAGGAAGGACTGGGAATTTAAAGTTTATACTTTTCCTTAATTTTGCCACTGACCCAACTGTCGAAAAGAACTGTGTTCAGTGTTCACTGTAGGTAAGATCTTATTATTAAGTGACACTTGTGTATTTAGAGGTATGCCACAAAGAGATAAAAAAAATTTTTACCCCTGTGATTTTGAAAGTTAAGGAGATCAAAATAAAGGCCATAAGTTGGTTACCTATGCCTGTATTGAACTATTTAAAGATATAGTCTTAATTCAAAGATGCTTCATTTTTCATAACATCATTTTTAAAACATTTTCTTTAAAGGTAATGTTTTCTTTAAAGGTAATAGGGCTTAAGGCTTTTTATTGTTCTGTGCCAGCGTGTGGCTGAATGCTGAAGGAAAGAAGTTGTGATATTCTATATGAACTTTCAAGGTACAAAGTTCTGAAAATCAGAAAAAAGTATTCTTGGAGCAGATTAACAAGTATAATAACAGATCTTATCTGGCAATCACTAATATGTAAAAAACCTTTCCTTGACCTTGATCCACTTAAGCATGAAAAGCAATTGAGAGATTGTGCTGTGAATATGCTTACTGTTACAGAAAAATCAAGCCCATGACAAGTCTTTAAAGCAGTGTCTTTTGGGTTAGTAGGTATTGAATATGAGTGCCTGTAAATATTGTGACAATGACAGACTAAAGTGATTTACAGTGTCAGATCAAACATTCCGATGGGCTGTGTTTCTTCCCTTTCAAAAGCAAGTAGTACAGAAAGGTTGAGGCTTTGCTACCCTATGAAATATCAAGTGTTGGGTGTAGCCAGAGCGCTTCAGAGCATATCTGTGAGGCTGGTGCTTATCGTTTCCATCCCATTGCACTTCTAGGATACATTTTTCATTTACTTTGGGGGCTTTTTGGATAACTACAGATATAAGCTATGTATAAATTAATAATCAGCAAGATCAAAGCTAAATTAATGGCATTAATGTGGGCATTCATTGTTTTTATTCTAAGACTTTGGATTTCTTTACTTTTATGAAGAGATTGGGAGGAAGATGTGGTCATAATTAAAAGATCTGTATAACTTTTTTTCTTTAAAGCAAAGGCTATTTTTAGTCATTTCTAGAGTAGCTAGAGACCATGCATGATTCAGTTAAGTGTTTCTTATCAAAATCATGAGAAGTTTTATATTGAAAGAATTAAAAATACTCACACTATTTCTCTTTGCCAATGCCTTTAAATATATTTACAATGATTCCTCTCCTTGGAATCATAGAATCACCAGGGTTGGAAAAGACCTCCCAGATCATCCAGTCCAACTGTCTACCTACCACCAATATTTGCCCACTAAACCATATCCCTTAGTTTACAGCATCTACACATTATCCTTCCATCCACAGAAAATGAAAACAAGATCTAGAACATCCAGACTTAAATAGCAAATGAAAAATCTGCATTAGGCACTTGAATGTGCTACAATTTTGTGTATGTACCATAGATATATATGCATGTGTATAATTATATGTTTGTGTGTGCATCTTTTAGTAAGAATGCCAAATGTTTCCAGCACCAGCAAAGGAATTCAGTGTCCTTAATAATGATACCTGCAGGTGGGTAGTTGCATATGTGCAAGTATGTACATACGGTTCTGATCCAGCTTTTGAGTATCTGGAAACAGATGCTGATGAAAAGCTGCAGTGATGAGTGAAAGAATATGTCTGGATGGTACAATGTTGTCCACTACGTTGTTAGTTTTAGAAAGCAGAGCAGAAAGGTTTGTGAGCAGGTTTTTACACTTGTGATGAAATAAAAGAAAAGCTTCAAGTTAGGCAAGACCATACTAGGATTGGTTGGCTAATGGGCTCTTCTGGCAAGATATCACTAATGTGAATATAGTTCGTAGTCTATAATAAACTCCTATCTTTGCCAGCCTGGCTTACCACGTACACATTGAAATTCTTAAAGCAGTTATGCCAGTAAAAGCAAATTTAATATAACTGCGATGCTAGAGGCTTTTATGGGGTAAACTGCATTTTACAGAATGCCTCCTCAAAACTTTGACTAATTGTGCTGATGGGTAAGCCTTTAGATTTGGCTCAACTCTTAAATAAAGTTCTGAACAGCAGCAGAGCTCAAACTTCTCAATAAGACATTAAATCTAATGTTCTTTGGAGAACTTAGCTAGATTTTGTTTTCTAAATGTTATTTAGAATTTACCCTGAGCACTGATGCACATATGTTTCCTTTATTACTACAGCATCAGACGTGTTTTGATTCAAAAGTCAGGACACTTAAAAATTATTTTGGAAAACCAGCCCAACATGTAAGCTAGAAGAATTCTAAAACGTGTTTTGATTAGCATCAATTCCAGCGAGCACTAGTTAGGATTCTTCCTTTGTGTGGGTAAAAGCAACAGAACATTTCTGAACTATGTTTTATAAAAATTGTTTTGTACCTCTGAAGGTCTCTGTAAAATACTTCAGCCTTCTTTAAAGGCTTACTTTTCTTTAATCATTTTGTAATGTTCAAGGTTTTGTCTAGAGAATGATCCTCCACATGCCCCCCAAACAGATAAAGCGTGTGCAGCATTTTTGCACTTTCCCTAGTACTTTGGAGTGTTTTGAAGTTTCTCAAATTTGCCTGTTTCCTGACTGGAAGTTACTGAAAGTAGTGAGAAGATACGTAGGTGTTCTAACAACAAATTACAGTTACAAACAATCTCTGTGGTTAAGAGCATACTTAATTTAAAAAATGGCTAAATACAGGGATTTGAAATCTCAGTGGGATGCAGTGAGAGCAGTGGTGGCTGGAAGTGGATTATGTTTGGAAGTAAAATGCCTGAATGTGGTACATGAAGATTTTGTTCAAGTGACTTGCTTTGCAAACTTGCACTTCCAGTTTTTTCTTCTTAGGGAATTCTTGCTTTCTGTCACATAGGCAACTGGGATACTAAAAATCCATAGATGTGTTTAATTTTAGTAGGTTGTTTTTTCAGCTTTAGCTTTCTTTCAAGACCAGTGCTAACATACATAGATATAACTTGCTGAAGACAAGAGAATTGTATTTCTTCTCTCTTGTAATGTTGATGTATAACTTCTAATTAAAATGTGGGATCTCAAACTGTAGCCCTTGAAGCTGATGCAATCCCTAAAGCCACGTCTACAGTAATAGTTTTAAAGGAAAGACTTTCCTTTTTTCCTTTTTTTATTTGGGTCAGGATGACTACAGCTTTAAATACTGTTTCATCTGCTATGGCTGTGACTTAAACATTAGGTTTCTATTGAGTTTCTAAATCAGAACTGAATGCTACCCAATTTAACCTTTTTTTTATAATAGAAAGTGATAGTTTAAATTGGCATTGCAGAAGCTAACGTGGTAAAGTTAAAACCATTTAGGCTCCGCTTGTTTTAACAAGTATACCTTACCTTCTTTAATTCCCTTAAAAATCTAGGTCAAAGATTCTTTGCATTGTCTAGCATTCCATTCTGACAGTCTTCTTTTGCAAGTCAGAAAGTAAACTATAAATACCACTCAGGCTATTTTGTGGATCTTTTTTGACATTCACTCAACATACCTTTCCGAGGCCAACAATTCTTTGCAGAGTTTGTCTATTTTTTCACTATATTCTAATTTTTGTTGTCGCTAAGTTTGTGGCTGCTATGAGCTGCTCAGCGTTATCCGCACTGGTCTTCATCCTTTCACCTAGGTTTGCATCTCTGCTCACGGGTGGAAATTAGTTTCATCTCCTCGTAGTCCCCATTTGGCTATACTGCAAAACCACCAGACAGTTTGGCACCGTTTAGCACCATTGGCAGTCTCTGCTAGCAAGAGGCCTAGGATTGGAAAAGCAGCAGGGGTACTGCAGGTCAGACTTGAGATGGATTGGCAGAGTTGTGTAAGGGAGCGTGCATGGTGCCTATCATACGATGCTTGGCTCAAGCAAGCGTTATTAATCCCTCACTTTTGTGAGCCCTAACCTCATTCATAAATGTAACATAAAGTTGTATTTTAGAATGGGAATTTTAGGGGACAAGTGAAAGGTTTTGGTTGATATCTATGGTAACTATGGGGTAGTTCTTTCATTCTAAGCAGAAATTGACCGTATTCTGCATAATAATGATGAAAGCATATTGTGAGAAGCTTTGTGTCTTCCTTTTATTTCTCCCTTTCTGCTAAGTAGGAAAACGTGGATATGCATATATGTAATGCTTTCCCATGGGGTGGGAATGGTCATTTACAGTCTACTCATCCATAGTGTTATTGCTGTTTTTCTGCTTTTTGTGTTGTTTTTTTTTTTGTTCTTGTTTTTACAAATCCTCACAAATAACTTCCTTTCCCCTCTCCCTCCAAAGCAAAAAGGCAAAACAATTAATAAATAATCTGTCTGACCTGCTGAATTTGAGTTTTATGTCGGCTGCATTTGAAGCTTCCTTTGTTTTGAATGGGAAACATTCATCATAAGTAAGGAAAATCATCAAAACATTGTTTCTTCAGGTAACTGTTATGTATTTGCTCAGTTGTTACAATTTCAGGCAGCAGAGATTCAGAACAACTGTTTTGAAAGCATTTGCGTTTACACTGATGTGGTTGAGTGAAGAGGCACAGGATGTTCTGCTGAACAGATGGAATTACTCCTTGTGGAGATCACTCTTTTTTGTGTGTGTGTACTTGTTGAAGCTGTTTGAATTTCTGGCACATTTCATGCTATTACCATACTGTAAAGCTTCATTGTTAAGCTGTGTTGAATCTTAGATTTAGCATAAGATATAACTTGGATCAGATCTCTGAATAATGCTTCTGGTTTGAGTATGTAGATTCTCTGCCCTCTACCTCCTGTCTTTTTTTTTTCCTCCAAATTCACTTTCAGCTTCAGGTTGACAGTGAGATTAAAAAGCAGAGTTAATAACCAGGTATTCTGTTGTTTATTAATGTCACCAGTGAGATTGCGCAAACAGAATTTGGGATTAGGGAGTAAGATTGAATGTTTTGTTTTGTTTTTTTTCAGTGAAAGCAGCTTTAGCAGAGTCGAGACTTGCTTCTACATCTTGGATAATCTGGCACGTGCTCTCTAGATTTTCTTGAAGGGATGTGTAGACTTCCAAAAGGCAACTTTACAGCGTCTTATGTGACTTAGTGCTTCCTAGCTTGGAAGGAGGTGAATTTGGGAAAGAAGCAAAAATAAGAATTTCAAAATTTTCAGAGTATCTTTCTTTGAATCTTAAAGCTTAACTTTGCTGTAGATTTTTAATTCTGTCACATACCTCCAGAAGTTCTGTCTGGAACTTAAGGCTTTTTTTTTTTTTAATACATCACCAGAGGTCTGTATTTCATGTGATTATTAGCAGAGGGATCTGAGTGCTGAATGTGAAGACAGTGATAAAACTGTCCCTCAAGAGGAGGAGTTAGTGAAATACATTTATTGTTTATCAGTGTGCTTGTCTGTTACTCTGCACTTCTTATTGGAAGCAGCTAGTAGTCTTGTTTTATCCTTTTATGTCTCGTAACTTAATGTTTGATGGACAGTGATTTACAGGTTAACAAACAAAGCACCTGTTCTTGTATTTGAATTGATATGCTAGTAACATTTTGGAGACAACTTTACATGATTTTTAGACTTGAATTTGAACTTTGTGTGCCAGTGTTTGCTTCCTCTCTGCTCCTGTTGACTTAAGACCACTTCAAGCTACTTAGCACAAATCTATACAGGATTAAGGTATAGAATGTGTAATCCATGCTGCAGAAAGCTGGAAAACGATGGAGACATTGCTATCTACTTTCATTCTACTTTCCTTGTTAGTACATAACCCACATTAGCAGATGCAAATATATCTTTAGTTTGTGAAAACATGATTGATTGGAGTTACTTTGGAATTTTGCAATTAAATCAACAGCAAAGATTACCTCTGTTTTAGAGTATATGCTTAAAAGATTAAGAGGATGGCAGTTAGAGATAGTAGAGCACAAATTGCTCATTTGAGACATTCAGATGGTAGGTGTGTAGAATATTCCTGAACTACGGTCTCATATGCTATCTTCTTCCAGAAGCATGTGCATGAGGTAAGCATCAATACATACCCTTGAAGAAGACAACCTGTCAAGTACTAAGAAAAAATATCTAGAATGATGTGAGGAAACACTTTAAAGATTCTTTTCCTGAGAGTTCTTGCAGTTTCTTAAGTGCTATTAGCCATGTCTCCCTCCTATCCAGTCTCTTTACTGCAGAGTTCGTTTGACTTGTAGGAAGCTGTTTCAAATGGATATACGTTTGAAAGTTGGATATATCTGGAAGGATGTTTCTTGGTTCCAGTTTTCTGATATGGTTTTGAATCTCTTTTTTTTTTTTATGCTCCAGAGGCTTAACAAGCAAAGCAAAAACACATCCTTTAAAAGATATATATATATATATATATATATACACCAGAACAAACAAGCTTTGGATTGTGGGCTGGGCTGTGTATTTTTATTCAGAATCTCCAAAGTTTGTGTTTTAGGGTCATGGAGTTGTTTTTACTACTATTCAAAAAGAGTAAGAGAAGTGAGGTACAGAAAAATGCATTGGGAATAATGGTGTACAAGATTAGTTTGAACTTAGGAAAGCAAAAAATGCAAACTTAGTGACTATTCAATTTGATACTGTCCTTAACTGACCATACTTAGCTTAATAGATGAAGATTTCACTCCAGTCTCTCTTTCTTTGTTTTTGTGTATTTTGGTCCAATCTCTTGGGTCCATGTAACATAGGAATTTTTTTCTTTTGTGGTTTAATTGTATGAAAAAATTTTATGCTGTATTCTTGGAGCTGTTCAGATGGTTCCATGCCAAGCATATTTGTTTACCGCGGTAATGTCTGAGTTGTAGTGTGCCAGCTAATAAAGAGATTTATATAAAGAACAAGGTGAATGACTAAAACAGATGTGCCAGTTGGGTGAACCATTAAAAGAACCTTACTTCCCAACTTTACGTAAAAGTTATTCTCAATGTATTTCTGAGAAATCAAGAGTGGTTGCATGGATGCTTTTGAGACAGCTGAAGGAATCTCATCTGTTTGCTTGGGGGTTCTTTGCCCTGGGATTAAGGCACATTAGTCTTTCATCTGTTTCATTGAAGAACTTGCAGAGTCATGAGTTTTGACTTCTGATCAAGCATTATAATTGCATCATGGATTTAGTATTGATTCTAAATTTAGTCTTTCAGTTAAGCAGAAATGTGTTTTAATTTTTTTGTGATACATATTCTCCATGAAATACAACACATCTTCATTACATGGAAGCCCTTGATCAACCTATAATAATACTACAACCTTACACATCTTTTCTCACATATGCATGTTACTCTGGTTTTACTAGAAAATAAAGCATTCTATCTCTGACTGCTAAGCATGTTTACTAGGACTGGTGTAAAAGTGAGAAATTAAAGCATTGAATTCTGTTTAAGAGCTTTGTCTGTACAGCACTTTGTCCAAGAGACTTCTGGAGAATCCATTGATTTCACTGATATTTGTGTTTCTGACTGGAGTGGATAATCTTATAAACTGATAAGCAATTTACTGCTTATAAACTGATTAACAATTTTGTAATCTTGTTTCTTGGTATCAAAGAATTCATTTGGGAAGGATCCTGGATACAGCCCTAATGCTGGGGAATTAAAAGAACATTTTTTCATTTATCTTCAGCTTGTTGGGTGTATGAAATATTTCTACTGTATTTCCTTAAACGTAGTGGTTACACATTTTTAAAGGCCAAGTAAGGGCTAATTTAAATATATACACATGTTAGTTCTGGTTGTTAAGTACAGGGTTAGTTTTGAATTAAGCAAATGAAGGACAGCCTAAACACACTCAACTGACGTTGACAGTCTTGAGTATTGGTGGATTGTTTTGTTTTTTACAGACAGAAGCTGTGCTCAAGTAGGTGAAACAGAGCAGTCTGTGTGTACCTGCCTGCTCTTTATTGCCTTTCTTTATATTTGGCTTATCAGCTTTTAAGTCATGGATCTTACGTACTTCATGTTCATAGCACCTGGTGGAAGAAAATCTGTCCTCTCATATTTTACTTGTATAACCAAGTAATGCAAGTAGTATTCAGATTTTTGTATACTTCAGCTTGTGGCAGTATTTGTGGTTTAGAGGTAGACAGTGTCATATGAAATGTATGAAACCTTTCTGGTATTAATAAAGGCAGAATTTGTTGTTTCATTAAGAGTAATTGAAGTAGTGCCTTTCTCATTTTAGGCTAGTTGTGTTTTTGTTTAATCTTAGTACTGAAAACATCAAGAGCACAGAAGTCAGCATTAGGTTTTCAGGGGGTTCTCATCCAGACAGATTTATCAAAAGCTGTCTGTTTGTAGGCAGTGATTGTAATCTGATCTGAGCTCACCTAAGCTTAAGTAAAAATGAAGTATGTGCCCCCAATTAGACATTGCAGTTAAGGATTTTAGGGGGTTTGGTTTTGAGCTGAAGCATCGATCTCAAAGCAAGATTTTTGGTATTAAATTGTGAAACCATTGTAAGGCAGTTAGATCACCTTTCTTGGGGTTTCAGAACTCTGTTTATCTTCTTTACTTAAAAACAAAGAAAAGGCTGCTTTCAATTGGAGCTTTCATGATTGTGAAGTTTAGGCAGTACTTAAAAATATTAATCTGATAACATAGTATTAGGGTGGAGAAAAAAAAAAAGATTGCTGTGCCTTTAATTTGTCTGTGCACCAACCAGTAAGCACATGGTACTTCTTTCAATTACTTCTGAGTAACCTACCTTAGTAAGCTGAAGATGGCTGTGTTTATTTAAGAAGAAAAAATTAATGGAATAAATGTCTTAGAAGTACTTGAAGGCTCATAATATGCATCTCCTGTTAATTTCAGCAAAAATAAGGCAACTGAATCATATAACACTAGTTCCTTCAAAGTCACCTTGCTGAGCAGTTACTTAAGTTTGTTTTATTCCCTGTGGGATTTCAATCCAAGCTTTGGGATTAAGAACCTCTTGACAGAGTTAGGATTAATGTTTAGCTGAACTGATCAACCTTGACATTAAAAGTTTCAGTCAGTTCATTTTATACAGCAGCCAAATGCCTTCTTCACTCTTGAAGAACAGTCTTTTAAATGCAAGAAAATGCAAAGTGATTGGGGCTGAAGTGAATTAGAGCTGAAAGACATTCTTTCCTTTGCTGGACAAATAACAAATTATTTTTATTTATCAATTATGTTGACAGCTTTTGATCTGATGCTTAATTAATCATTTATTTTCTTTCTTTCCATCGTTATAGGCCTTACACACCTATGAAGGGAGCCACTTCCACTGTGTGGTTTGACAGATATAAAATTTCTAATGACTGTCCAGAACACATTGAGAGTATTGACTCTATGTGCCAAGGACTTTCAGATTTGATCAATGATGAGATTAAAAATGGCATCACAAAGGACAGGATACTAATAGGTAAGACTTAATTTTTGATGTGTTTATTTTAATGCTTCTAATTGTTGAGATCATAGAGATCATCTACTTGGAAATTAATTCACTCTAAAAGCCAATGAGGCTGTCTTGCTGTGGCCAAATAACTCCTTCAGCAGCCAATCCTCAAGAACATTCAATCATTATTTAAATCTATATCACATGGTGAATGTGGCTAACTGCAAGCAGCGTCCTCAGAAATGTAATATATAACTATTTTTATTTGAAATGATCATTTGTAATTGTAATTTAAAGCATAGTGAGCAGTGCTTTACTGGAAGCAATGGAAAATGCAGCCTTTTGCTTCTAGCCATTTAAGTGGGTGAAAAGATGTACTTTTGGCATGCTTTGCCAAAGAGGCTTGTATTTTGGAGAGTGCAGAGGTAGCATAAATTGTCATGGACTTCTCCGTGCTGCTTTAAACATTCTGATTTAAGTTAATGCACAGGGAAACAAATAGCATGTTATACATTGCTAAAGGTTTACACTTGACAACAAATTATGTGCTAGTTGTCATATTTCATTCATATGTCTATCTCCTTGTCCCTCTTCATTTCCACAGATTTCCAGTTGCTTTCACAGTAGTTCTGTGAAATAGGGAGTGGGATATCGAGGCACAGAAGTTGAGGCCAAAGGAGTAGCCTACATGAGAGAGGGAGTGAGAATTCAAGAGTCCTTGGCTCCTTGTCCCATCCCTAGACCACAGACTATTTCAGGTTGGGGAAAAAACTCCTAATGTGGGAACTTTAAAATTTATGGCTAAGTGAATCATGCCATCAAGCTCCTGCGTGGTGAAGCCACTACCCTTCAGCCTACATGTTTTCTTGGTCCAGCCCAATGTTACTCTTTGAAGGCCTCTGTTTACTTTCCCTTTCTGGCTTATTGCCCTGGCTGCGGAATGCATTGTTTTGGATGGTTTTCAGCACAGTCTTTGATCTCTCTTTCCTGTGTTATACCTGCTGGCTTAGAAACAGCTGAAGAAGTGCAGGTGCTTTTTCATAGAATGAGCTGGGAGACATTCTGTTTACAGATTCAGTTTGCTACTAGGTTTTTCTCCTTGCTCTGTAGCCCTCAAAGTCAGTAGTGGACTGCAGTATAAGGTTTTTTTTCTTTCAACAAGTTTTAAACAGAGTAAAGTAGATGTGCGCCAATTCCTTCAGTTTGTATTTGGAAGTCTCTGTCTCTGTGAACTTGCATTCCTCATCTGTAAAATAAAAAAAGTGCACGTTTTCCTCACTCCGAAGAACTTTGTCTTCAGGTCTCTAGAGAAAGGTGCTGTTTGTTTGTAACAGATGCTTCATCCTAGTGAATCTAATTTTCATGTGACAAACAAAATAAGGCAGCCCTGAATCAGTTCCAGCCAGAGTACAGAGGTGAGGAGCCTGTGTAAATATATTTAAAAAAATTAACTAGTGGAAAAAGAATTGTCGCATATGGCTGTGCAAGCCTTTGTGTTCTTCCACAAGAACTCTGTGCCTTCTCTGTGCTGGTTTTAATGGTTAATGAGAATGGGATGCAGTGGAGACTGAAGCTCAGGAGATCTTGTGAGGATTCTATGAATAAAAGTTGATTTTAATATCAGTAGGAGTCTGTAATGGAACATAGTTGGTAGTTTTAGATAGGCCTTCTTGAAATAGTTTAATATATTCTGGCATTGTTTCTTACAGAAAAGCAGAACTCCTGCAAAGGCACTTGGTAGCTTTATAACGTTTTTCATCAAAAGAATGTCACACCAGTGGTTAATTATGAGGATATACTCAATCCATCTGCACAGATCTATAAAGCCTGTAATGGTAAGATCTGAAATATATGAGAAAGGGACTGGAGGATTGACAACAGTCTGAAGAGCAGCAGGGGTTCTTTTCAGGTTCATTACAGAAGCCAAGAACAGTTACATGAGCAGGGAGGGGAGTTACAGAGAATGAGATACTTATTAAAGGTTTATGGAAAACTGAGTTTTGGGACTTTATATTTTGCAATAAGTAGGTGTTTTAATGAGTGGAAAGAAAACAAAATAACTATGAGGATAGCAAGATTGAAGGTTATGGTTTTATATAGAATGGTGGACTAGAAATTACAGGCTGAGGATGAGTGTCAGATATTGTTAGATGATGGCAAGCTAGGTGTTAGGCAAGCAGGAAGGGGGAAGCAGGGTAGGTACTCAAACGGTGGAAATGAGCAGCCCATCATCAGGTGTTCTAGGGGATGATTCTCCTTCTGGAGCAATCAAACTTTCCACCAGGCTGAAGACTGTGGGTACAATAAGGTCATATGTTCTGAGAGAAATGACATCCTATGCTGTTACTTTGGGTAGCACGGTTAACTCTGAAATCCGAAAGCAGCTGCCAGTAAAGCTGAACCCTGAAACTAAGGATGAAGTCAGAATATGCTATATCAATAAAAACATTACAGCAACATTTTTTAACAGCTGCACTGTGTATCTACTTCTAAAGAAAATAACTAAATTGCTTAATTCACTGGAGGTGAATAAATTGTTATTAAAATCAACCAGCATGCAGTGGTACGCAGCTCATCTCTCCATTCTTTTCCTGATAGTTTGCATTGCTTTTGTGTCAGTGCAGAAGTCTTTTAAAAGAAGTAAACTTATTCATTGAGGATTTTATTCTTCTGACTTTGTAAGGAGAAAGAAGGAAGACTCTGAAATATTCATTATTCTAAATAATTATATCATCCCTTGAATTTGATAATGGAAGACTTTCTAGCTAAACAGTCCTGTTGAGTTACTCTTCTTGTTTTCCTGGCTGAAGCACTTCTTGCAAATAACCTCAAAAGTTATTTGACTTTGGAGATAAGAGTGTGATAAGAATTAGTCAAATTCTGACTCTTAATTAGTACCCCTTCTTAAAAGCTGGTTGTGATCATTCATATGTATCTCTGAATTCATCATTAAATTAATTAAGCAGTAGCATTTTAAAATGTGGGACAATCATTTCATTTTCTACTTAAAACAGAGTTAATTTTCAGGTGATGGTGGGTCTTTTTGTGTGTGTGTGTGTTTTAACTTCCAAAACAACACACATCACTTCCAGAGTGATGGTGTACTATAAAATGACTTGTGCAAAATGCCAAATATTTAAGCAGTCTTACTCATCAATATTCTGATGCTTGGTAGAAATAGACACTTTTCCTTATACTACAAATTACTAGGGTTCACTTTAGTCAGCTGTTTCAGTGAAAGCCCATCTTTTTGTTCTCTATTGTTCTTGATTTAGTACTTCTTCCCTACTTTACAGGTCACTTTTTGTGTAGTACAGAAATGCTGATCCAAGCACACTGGGGCTCTGCCACCTGTAGTCACTTGTGTAAGCAGCCAGTGAAAATAAACTTTCAATAACAGTCCTGTAGATTTGACTCTGTGCCAAAACACACACACATGATTCCTGACCCCTTGTACTATAACAATAACAAGACACACAACCACTTTTGTTTATTGCTGGACTTCTTACACAGCTACTGAACCATGGTGGAAGTAACATGAAAGTTCTGTGCCTCTTGTAAATATTAGCATTTCCATTTCTCTGTGTGTGAGAATAGGATGGGGAGGAAAAACCTTTGCTTTGACATCCCAGAGAGAAGATTCTGTAAATATGAGAAGATAAAAAATCAACAATAATTCATTAAAACACAGCGTGAACTACTCTGAGACGTGCCATGGAGTGCACGTTGACACGCACTTACTTCACATCTGTGCCTATGGGGTCATAGAAGAGAGAGGCTTAACAAGGTCAAGTTCTCTAATCCATCTTCATATGTCAGTGCAGATTCAGTGCTACTTAAGCAAATCCTTACCATTGCTTTTCTGTCTTTTTTTTTTTTACTAAAAGATCTTGAATTACAACTTTCCCACAGCAACCTAGAATCACTCTCATGGTTTTTCTGTTTTAAACCTTTCCCTAATGTAAGCCTTTCCTAGTAGACTGTGTTAATACCATCTCATTTATAATTCTTCTTAAGGTTCTCTGTATTACAGAAGATAAGTATTTTTACTGCAAGCAGCACAGTACATATTTGCTAGAGGTTTGGTATTTGAGTCATAGATAGTACTTTCTGCAGTGCAACAAAATACATGTTCCATTTTTTTAAGGAAAGAATTGAAAGGAGAGACGGATTAGCATTCCAGATGAGTTCACAAGTATATACTAGGTTGCATGGAAGAAACAAAGGCATGAGGTAATAAAGATGTATAGATGGGAGTAGCAAGCAAAGCTGAGAGATAAATGACAGGAGTTGGAAAGCAAGTTTTATAAATTCATTTTTCTTGATGCATGTTTAATGATCTTTTTTCCCTAGTGCTCTTCCACCTGATTTTCTTCCCTTCTTTCATTCTGATTTGGCCTCAAAGGTACTCCTCTTCTGCTTCCCGTGTAAAGCAAATTAAAGCTTTTCTTGGTTGGAGAAAAGATGATTTTGGAGTATTTTCTGTCATCGTGCATCTTTCCCATTACTGCTGGGAATTGTAGTCAGGAGGAGGGAGAAGAGGTACGTGTCTCTAAGCTAGGCACCTTAACACATGGGCTATGAGGTCTGCAGATACAGGTGTTTCAGAAATCAACCTCAATATTACAAGACTGAACTGAGTGTAAAAAATACAGCTACGTGTGGCGAGAGGGCTATGTTGTCATCATCAGAAACAACCACGAACAAGTTTGAGGTGTGGCCAGATCCTTAGCTTTGGTAAAGTAGCATCTGAATGAAAACTCATTTGAGACTTCGTGGCTTTTACTTTTCTTTTAGTTCTGGAAGTTGACTGCTTATGTTCTCTTCTACCACCTACTTCAGTTGAAAATACACAACGAGATTATTGTTTAACTAAGGTGATGCTTCAGAAACCACTGTATACTTTTTACAAGAAAACAGTAAAACTTGTGTCACTTAAATACACATTCAAATATACTGGTATTTTTATTGTGGGAAAGTTGAATAGCAAATTTATTCCAGAGAAGAGGAAGTGGCTGAGCCAGTCA